GAGAGAGGGAGGAGAGAGATCGGGGTGAGGAAGGGGTATAGAGAGAGGAGAGGGCGCAGAGAGGAGGGGAGAGAGCATGTTCCTGTGCTGCCCTGCTCATTTCCACCCTCCCTGATCCGCGGCTCCAGGTGAAGACGGACTCCCTGTGCCAGCGCTACGAGGTGGTGAGCCAGCAGAACTCGGAGCGGTTCGGCGCGCTGGAGCGGGCCCAGGTCCTGGCGGCGCGATTCTGGGAGACCCAGGAGGAGCTGGAGCCGTGGCTGGGCGAGACCGAGGCCCTGATCGCCGGGCTGCCCCCTCCCGCCATCGACACCGACACCCTGAGGCAGCAGCAGGAGCAGATGAGGGTGAGCGAGGGGCAGAGCTGGCGCCCTCCTCCACAGCGAGGGGAGCCTGAGCTCCAAGCGTTTACAGCACCGTACAGCCCTACAACAATACAACGGCACAACCGCACAACCCTACAACCGCACAGCCATGCAACCCTGCAGCCATGCAACCCTATCACCGCACAACCGCACAACCATGCAATCCTACAACAATTCAGTCCTACAGCCCTACAACAGTACAACCCTGCAGCCCTACAACGGCACAACTGCACAATTATATAGCCATGCAACCCTACAACCATACAACAATATAACCATGCAGCCATGCAGCAATACAACAATACTGAGGAGACGGAGAGAGAGGAGGGAGTGGGGGAGGAGGAGAGACTGAGGGGGTGGGAGTGGCAGAGAGGAACATGGAGGATTGGGAGAGGGAGAGTGTGGGCAGAGAAGCAGGCTCAGGAGGAGGTCTGGGTGCTGTATGAGAGAACGAGTGGGAGTGAGAGATTTTCATGTTCTTTTTGCATCTCTGTGTTTTAACCGTTTAGCGTTTAGCCTGATGATAGAACTTGATTTTTGCTTCTCTTGTGCTGCCCCTCTTCCCTCTGCAGCTGCTGAGAGAGTCTATAGCCGAGCACAAGCCCCACATCGACAAGCTGCTGAAGATCGGCCCCCAGCTGGCCGCCCTGAGCGAGCAGGAGGGGGCGCTGGTGAGGGAGCGCTACAGCACCGCGGACCGGCGCTATAGCAGCATCAAGGAGGAGGTCAAACGCAGGGCCACTGCGCTGGACGAGGCCGTGTCACAGTCAGCACAGGTACACCTGGCACTGCAGCGCACCCACCCTGGGGAACTGCTCCACTGTGACACTCCCATCAGACACTGAAATACTCACCTGCACTGATACACTCAGACACATCCACGTTCTGATTCTGTATCCCTGAAGTACTCACACTGCTGCTCTAACACACTGATCCTGGGAATTACAGCTGGCTGCTGCAGTGATTCATGCTCTCAACCACACCTGTCCGGAGCCCTGACACACCTGCCCAGGGTACTAACACACCTGTCCGGAGCCCT